TCTTCCGATTCCTGCTTGCTTTCCCTATCTGAGAATAAAGGAGACAGCAACACTGATACCTTAAGCCTGTTGCCTTGCAGTCTTAGAGTGTGGGCTGGGCAGAGGTCAGGCACCTGCCACCCTGGGGCTGGGACTCAGGACACACGACAGAACAAGATGAGGGTATATTCACTACCTGACTCAGATTTTCCCTCCCACCACACAGCATTGCCTCTTCCTTCCAACACATTTCTGATGAAGCGGATATTGGTAAGGTACTCAAGAAAAGTCAAGAGGCCTGCCATCAAGAGACAGCTTTGCAACTTGAATCGTCGGGGGCTTCGGATGGCAATGAGGATCCCTGTGTTGTTTGAGCAGCTCAAGCTGGAGAAGCTGAAAATACAACGGGCCAGGTATGTGTGCACCATCTGGGAGCCTAAGGTGGGCAATAGAAGTCATGCTGATAGGACTTGGAAGTCATCTGGGGTCTCAAACTGATTTTCCTTGGAGACATCCCAACAGCTCAGACTTGCCTGGTTCCTATCTTTTCTTCCTTAACAAAACTTAACCTTTAACATTGTCTTATAATGAAATTATGGGGAACCAGCAGTTAGCGTAATGGCTATGTCGCTGGACTCCCACGTAGTCGACCGCGGTTCGCGTCCCGGACCCAGTGGCTTAAAACTCACGCTGAGTGTGTGTGCATGCGTGCCCAAGATCCCAAGAGGAGAATGGAGGAGAAGGGATTGCGGCGTGACCATCCCCCCTGGGGGGTGACTTTTCGCTTTCTGTCTCTATGTCTCTCTCTGTCTGTCTGGCGAGCGCATGCGCCCTATAGCAAAAACCTCTCCAAAAATAAAAAAAGAAATTATGAAATAAAATCAATGCCTAGGCCTCTACTCTGTTATCTGTGATTATTTTATTGGTTTCCATGGATTCCATGAGTCTGTGTGTCATCTTTCTCTTTTTTGTTTTCCTAGGGAGATTTTTGCTATAGGGTGTATGTGCTCACTGGAGAGACAGAGAGACAGAGACCTGCTGGCCCTACTTTCCATATTTTTTTTAACCCATTCACCTTTTTCCTTCTTTTGACACAGATGTAAAGAGAGTTGTCATTAAGCAGTCTTAAAGACAAGTCTGCTCTGTGGACTTGGTAATGTCTCAGCTCTTTAGCCTTGTAAGTGCTTCAATAGTATCATAAATTCATTTTCACTCAAGACAAATGCCATTTTATAGAACCTTCTAGTATTTTCAATGATCAGGAATATCTTGAATTAGTGATTGAACACAGAGCAGCACCTAAGTCCAGGGTGCCAGTCCAAGTAGTATGCCTGTACTGACCTGTACAAGGTTAGTGGGCATAAAAATCTGATGGTCCTACTCATAGTGATGCTAAGATTGATCAGTCTTTTAGGTGGAGATAGCCTAATCTCTTTGCTGTAGTTAATGGCTCACCCATTGGTGATCTTGCTTGACCATTTGTTTCATCAGGAATTTTCTGTTATTCCTCCTTATTTATTAACTAGAATTCTAAAAAGAGCTTTCCTTATCAACTAAAGCTTTTTATTTTTTTAAATTTTCATTTATTTATTTATTTATTGAGAGGTTTTTCTATAGGGCACATGTGCTCACCAAAAAGACAGAGAGACAGAAAGTGAGGAATTTGGGGGATGGGCATGCCGCAATCCCTTCTCCTCCATTCTCCTCTCGGGATCTTGGGTGCACATGCACCTGGTATGAATTTAAGCCACCGGGTCTGGGACTCCAACTGCGGTCAACTGCATGGGAGTCCATCGACATAGCCGTTATGCTAACTGCTGGTCCCTCATTTATTTAATTTTAAAGAATTATTTTATTTAACTTATTTACTTATTTTAATTTGACCAGAGAAGGACAGAGCTAGAGAGAGGGAAAGCAAGAAACCAAGCCACCAGGTCTGGGACTTGAACCACTGTTGGCCATGTGGGAATCCAGCACCTTTAACCACCACACCATCTGTTGGTCCCATCATTATTATTATTTTAAAATTTGATACAGGGTACACACACTCAGCAGAGAGAGAAAGTGAGAAAGCAAACTGTCAGGTCC